AAATTACCAAAAAATGAATGGAAGTCAATGGAAAGTCCCCACAAGGATATAAAAACAAGTTTGTGTGTATGTGTGTGTGAGTTTTGTTCAGTGGACATAAAAAATATGCATTTTTTTATGAAAAACAAATGAACTGTCCTTATTGATCTTGTGAGACATAAAAAAAATCAGTGAACAAATATTGATTGAAATAACGGAGTTAATAATCAGAAACAAAAATATATTGGGGGATTTCTTTCAGTTTCTGACACTATTGCGGGATGAAACATTGGGGGCGGCTGTGATGGAGTGGTTAGGGGAGTCGTCCTGTAACCGGAAAGTCACCGGTCTTAGTCGTCGTGTCCTTGGGTAAGACACTTCACCCGCCTTGCCTACTGATGGTGGTGGCGCCGGTGTAGATGTGGCTACAATGTAGCTTACCACCATCAGTGGGTGAATGTCTGTAAGTGTAAAGTACTTTGGGGTCCGGAGGGACTCGATAAAGTGCAATATAAGTTCAGTCCACTTACCATTTTACCATTCCTCAAGTCAAATTAACGCATAAACATAACAGGAGGGTTAAACGTGTTCACTCCAAATGTTAATTATTAGTATATCCACTGGTTGTTGTTTACACATTTAATTGAAATTAGTTCTGTAATTCGTTCAGTATTTCAGTTACAGAAAAACACAAGTAAAATCATTATTGTCCACATTTATCTTTTAATAGACAAAAAAATAACATGTTTTGTACCACATTATCAGTTAATAGTTGTTTTATCAAAAAAGAAAAAAAATTATAAATATGTTAATTGAGGCAATAAGGAGCCTAACCCTTGGCACAGTTTGAAAATGTTTCCCTTATTCCAGCTTTATGTTGTTTTTAAATGTTCTTGTGAAATGTCTGTGGCACAACCAAAGTGACTGTTTTACGAGCTGTGATGCCGGTCGTCAAACGGCACAGAACAAGCATCAAAGAAAGTGCAGATTTGAGTTTTTAGCAACTTTGTGCTCAAGAATAATTAAACATGTTAGCCTATCAGTTTAAACAAAGCCATCTTAATCTCCATGGCATTTGAGTCACAGTTCACAGAAAAAAAAAAAATAAGACGCAGACAGCCACAGACATGAGCACGCTACACACAAAGTTGACACATGGGCTTTTCCTAATGGCAGTAAAAAACTGTCTGCTTCAAACTCACTCTGTTGATTGGGAGTCATTTAAAGGGTCTACAAAACAGAAGGGGGGAAAGGGAGGAAATGTGTGGGGGGAAAAGAACGATTTAAAAGGGTGGTGTGAGAAGTGTTAGAAAATGTTTTGAAAATCTGCAGACACAACTTCACTATAACACAGTGGTTCCCAAACTTTTTATCTTCTGACCCACAAACTAACCATGGCAAAAACTTGTGACCCCAAATATTNGCACAGGCTCCATAGGAAATGAATGGAGAGCGAGCGACGTCGCCTCCCGTGTGTCGAGCCCTTTACATGAGCGTAATGGTGCTCCTCAAAGGGCCAGTTGTAATAAACTTTCACGTTTTATGKTTAACTTCAACAAAACACCATGTTCCTCGTCTCATTGCTACAGCTGAGCACTGCTAACAAACAATAACTGAGCTCCATGTGGTATTTCCTGCGTAAAAACAGTGTTTAAACACATCCTCTTATAAACACTGAAAAGTAGTACATGTATGACTGAATAAATGTGAAATAAATAATACATAAATATTATTAAAAGTGAAAGTAGGAGAGCTTTACTCACTATTGAGTTGTGGTGAATAGCTGCCATCTTGAATTCTGAACTCTCCCACTTTTTGACAGGGAATTCCCCAGCATAATCAACGTGCATTATGGGAGATGTAGTTTATGGTCAATGCTGGCTTTAAAGCAGCTTATTCTGAGACATTATCACTGTTCTATTCAACTAACTTGCTCATTTACTCAAAGCCCATAGCTCAGGTGTAGCACAAGTGTTATTATCTTTCACCTTTACATTTTTTTTATTTTGTTGAATTTAGTCATAAATTTAAAGTTTACCATTAATATAAAAACAATTTTCATATTAATTTAAAAAAAGGGTGTGCCACCCATGGCGAGCCAGCCAGGAGTCACCTATGGGCCACTATTTGACCCGCAGGCCTTTAGTTTGATATGTGGACTACAGCATCCAAATCACTGTAGACATTGCCCCAACTTATCCATGAATACCCTTTATTTTGTTGCATTCATGAAAACAACCCTGATAGCTTGTATTCCTAACCCAGACCATTTCAAGATGAAGACCACACTCGTCAAGGATCCAAAGTTTCTACCAGGGGCGTAAATTTAGGTCTACCGTTGGGGGTTGTGCTCTCTGACTGTTTAGTTATTTATTGAATTATTTATTTTTGTAAAAGGATTCAGGATATTTTGGGGTTAAAATACATTGTAAAGATTTCATTGCAATTTACTTAAGTTTCCTGCTTTCATTGTATTTACTCTGCAAATGTTTCTGTTCCAAATAAGTTTAACAATTAAGAAAAGGAAAACTTTCCCCCCATTTATTTTTTCCATCTGTAACAAATATTTTACATTTTTAGGAGGTATTTTACGACATACCTAAATTTCTCATTTTTTCAAGAGTATGTATTTACCTGATGCTGCTTAACCAGTTAGTTTCTATTGTGTTACAGCAAATTATGTAATTTTATTGGGGGGGGGGGGTTGTTATACCGACTGGATCAAATTATTGTTTGGGTCATAACCCCCCAAAC